CATTGAAATAGGTAAGATGTAATTAGATTCACAGCTCTCCGGAAGGTATGCGCTGTAACACGTGAACGCACTGTCTTGCTGTCAACGCGCTTCGGCGCGGGCCAGCCGAGCCAGCCATTTTCCACAGATGTCATTTGGAAATGAGCTCGTGGATGCTGTATCAGAAAACTCCGTCCGTCAGATTCTCACAAAAGGTGGCATACGAATTATTTTAAAGCATTACCATTTGTATGGATACCTAAAAGCGTCTGCTTCCATCAGGTGGGTTTTAGTATCACCTAGATGACAACAGCTATTAACTCCCATGTGCTGTCACATCGATTATTTTATTGTACCGCACAAGGTATCTCGTAGGTGATAAGTATGTGCAAGTAAAGAAGAACATGGAAAGTGTTTTGGATTTTTGTTTTCTCCCTGCGGTCCATTTGTCTCAAATCGCACATCTGCCAACGGTTAACAAGATTTTCGCATATCAGGTATTGACAGATAATATATCATGCCTACCAGTGTACGATGCAGCTCAACACCTCCATCAAGAGCTTGCTGCATCTGTGTGCCTTAGGCAGCCGTTGTCTACCAGCAAAGAATCACATGACAATCATAGTATCACCTGCAGTTGCGGCAACGTCATCATTTATTCAGGGTCTCGACCCGTGTAATTACCTTGGTAAGAAAGCGGGAGCGTGTCCCCCTCCACCCTCGCCCACACCGGTGACCTGTCGGCCGCTGACACGCTCGCGGGGGACGTGTCCCTCCGCACCGGTGACCTGTCGGCCGCCGACACGCTCGCGGGGGACGTGTCCCTCCGCACCGGTGGCCTGTCGGCCGCTGACACGCTCGCGGGGGACGTGTCCCTCCGCACCGGTGACCTGTCGGCCGCCGACACGCTCGCGGGGGACGTGTCCCTCCGCACCGGTGACCTGTCGGCCGCTGACACGCTCGCGGGGGACGTGTCCCCCCGCACCGGTGACCTGCCGGCCGCCGAGACGCTCGCGGGGGACGTGTCCCTCCGCACCGGTGACCTGCCGGCCGCCGAGACGCTCGCGGGGGATGCATCACCTCTCGGACTGCCATTCTCCGCGGTGGATTATGTATGCAGAGCGGGTCATAATTAAGCGAACCGTCGCCAGCGGCGGCCCGGGAGGCCCTTCGTCAGCTGGATGACCCTAGTTTAGCGACATGCGCAGTCGGCGTCTGTGCGGCGGGGCGCGAGCGAGACCCATTAGCGACCCACCGGCGCCCCGCCGGGGCCCCATCAGCCGTGATCGAATATGGAAATACGTCACGGGGGCGGGACCCGCGCGTCATCTGTTTCAAAGTTAACAAACGGCGCCGCCGGAGCCCGTGAGGAGCGGGCTGGCGGCCCTGCGGCGCCGCTGGCCGGCTGGCTGCCAGCGTGGCGCCGCTGGCGACCGCTCAGGTGCTGCAGACAGCTGGTGGAAAGCGGTGTGAGGTGCTGGGGTCGATAAGACGCTTCACTGGTGACATGATGAATGCGCGTCCGGGAGGAACGCTCAGATGTCACACATGTCTCAGGCTGTTTTGGTTGGACTGGTTCACCTGTCTGCCGCCGTTCCACGCGTCTGAGCTCAATTACTTCTGCCATGGTCTATTGTAACCTACACTTTTGTCTTAGACGGGGCCGGGTAACTCCAAGCTTGCTTCAGTCTGTCCTTTTAGAGCGGTTGGGCAGACCAAAGTAGGTGTCGAATTGCAGTCAGAACGAATATTTTTCAGACTTCTATTCATAATATCTTAGAACGAGCAGAACATTCATATTATAGATGATCGCCTTCGAAATAAATCCCAGATGCCCGTAATATCGACATTTTGTACTATTTGTCTTCCGCACTTAGATTTCCGACCAGAACGTTGCCATAATGGAGGTATCACTATGTGGCTTCCACCTCCACGTTGAAGGGGGTATCACACCTTTTTGTACTTTTCCCCTTATTGTTCCATGGGACATATACGATTTGATCAGCAATACCAGCTTTGCGCAAATCCTTTTGAACAACTCAGAATATCAATTTGTTTGAAACAGCCAACCCTGCGAGAGAAATCTCAGTCGGCTCCTTGCTCACTGCTAAAGCAATGCATTTTATTTCCTTGTTTTTTTACAACGTGGTGTTTCTGGAATGTCTGCAACACACATTGAATGTCAAAATGTTCGCTTAATAAATGCTACGAAATGTCACGTTCTTTTATTCGCACAAGTAGAGGTATGCACGGTCATTGTCATGATGACTGTGGTTACGACTGCAGGGAGGAAGTGTAATACCGTTATGAAGCGTTGACGGCCTAACTTGGGCACGAAAATGGTTAAAATTGATTGTCTTGTTATGTCTCGACGATGCTGCAGCGGCACCGCCCAGTGCTATTATTAGATGTAACTAGTCCTGAGGCTGGAAGAGAGTGCGCTTCTGAAACTTGCAAAGGTGGGACACTCCCTTTAAGGCAAACGCTTCCTAGCATGATAACAGCGCAGAGAAAGCGTTGAAGAACTCTCCTAGCGAAAGGCATACCAAGGAAGCACAATCCTTTTATTCACCTTTAAGTGTGCGAATTTCGCTGGAGATCCGTGCTGAATCCATGTGGCCCGCTTTTGTGCCAATATCTAGATATTTGGCGCATCGTGATGAGCGAGATTTTTAGTGCCAGAACATTAGTTGAACGAACCTTTCCATTCGGACGTTGCAATAATTCGACTAGAGGAGGTAAAATGAGAGAAACTTTAGCGTACCCCCGGTTCAAAACCAGGGACGGACCCAAAGAGAGCTGCCCCCCCCCCCCCCTCTCCCCGCTCTGGACCACCCACCATCAAAATGTCATGGTATATGGACACAGAGCATGTGTTTCGGAATCCTAATAACCTTAATTTTCAAAAACACCAAATCCAAGGGGCTCTTTTAAGAGCCAAAAAGCCTGTATTTTTCAGGTGTATCAAATTACAGGGGCATCGCAAGCTGTGCTCCCACCCTGAAGAAATCCTCGGTCAAGACCTGTGGTGAACAGGCACAACAATCTTCATTTCGTTTCCCCATAACCCTTATTTTCAAGGGGCACTAGATACCAGAAGGCACCACAAAGGGCCACACGAACTCAATTTCCACGAGGAATTAAAATCCAAGGGCACCAATGGCACGTGTTCGTGCAGTCTATTCGACAAATCCTGGAATCATTTTGCCGTGTCGTCACCGAGCTACATAGCTTTAGAGTGACGGGAATCACCAGTCTCAGGGCAGGAGGGATCCGCTTCATATGTCTACGCATTCTGTCCAGCTCTCCTCGGTACGCAAATGAAGCTTCTCGAACAAAACAAAACAAAAAAATATGAAATGAAGTGACCAAAACCCACTTTTGTTACGGGTAGAGGCACCAAATTTCACGGGCACACCGATGCCGCATCCTTTCCCCCGCCCCCGAAGAAATCCTAGATTTACCGCTGGTGAAATCAAATGGCTTAGGTGTTAGTTTCTTATTTGCTTTCCAGATTTGTGATTGTAGTGAGACAGCAGGTTATGTGTATATATATTATATATATATATATATATATATATATATATATATATATATAAACTATTTTCACTAGAAGCAGAGACAAGATTTAGAAAACGGTGTAAGAAAGCAACACTCGATGCAAATGAAGTCGATCAAGGGATTACGATACAAGTCGTGGCATTGTCCTTCACTTCATGCTGTGATATCTGCATACGCTTCTGGCAGTCCTTGGAACCGCTAGTCGATATAGGGTATGTGAGATTGGCACAGAAGACATGCTTGGGATGGCGTTGGGATGCATGATGCACAGCTGGCTGATTTCCCTTATATCTCGGTACCTGACATCGCTTCGGCCACTTGATGTGCATGCACGTGCCGCACATGAACCCTGCTGCGAGGTGAGGGTTAGGTATTATGCTGTAGAATAATTTGTTCGAAGCCGTTTTGATTGAAATCTGAGCATCAACCCAGTATTCATTTTTCCTGGGATCCGCCTTGGTTACCTCTTTTTATCCGATGCCTCAGCGCTTGTGGACACAATGCCATAGTCGGCAATAGGCCAGCATTTATCGCATCACCAAACATACCGTGCCTTTCGGGCTTAAGAAGACATTCCTAGGTCCATAATGTCGAAAATTTACTGCGATATGAGCTCAGAGGTCTTGCGCTGTGTTATCGACAAACAACATACGAGAAAATGCTGATTAAACGACGCTTTTAAGCAATCCTTGGTTATATCAACAGCGCTTGACGTTTCAACGTGTCCTTATGATCGCAAGTGAAGGAGGCTGGACTAGGTTAAACAATGAATTACGCTCAACTCCTCAGGCACGTAAATCCAGAAAAAAACTCCAAATCTGTGCAGACACTATCCAAGAATGTGATTATAAACAATGTTTGTTTTCTAACGTCGTTTTGCAAAACGTTTTTAGCACGCTTGCAAATTGATCTCAATTATACCACGCTTGGAAATTGATCTCAAGGTCGTCATCATTTGAAATGTTGATTTACTTGCACGTTTAACTAATATTTTCCAGTGTTCTCACGCTGCCAGTTATTGACTTTCAATATACTGGGAGCATACTGGTTTAATAACCTGCTTAAACGACTTTCCCAAAATCGGTTATATATACTAGTATATATATATATACATATATATATATATATATATATATATATATATCCTAAAGCACCACCAGTAGCATAATTTTGAACTTATAATGCCAAAAAACCATAAGCTCGAAGCCTTTCTTGCTGATATCACGCTCATGTATCTTTAGCCAACCCGGGTCCAAAGTTATTATATCGGTAAGGAATGCAGCAGTCTGTATGGCGTTGATCAAAGTAAGCAGCCCTAACTATATTTCTGACATCTAATTTGTCACAATCGGTTTGTCTGCGTCTTAGGACGCTAAAGATTAACGTCTTTACCGAGACGAGCGGCGACAGTCGCGATGCTTTAGTGCGGTGAATTTGAGCTTGTGTTGGGGTGGAAGCCGCCGAGCCGGCTAAATAGATGCGGAAAGCTTATGGCAGAGACTTTCCAGTGGTACAAAACTTATTACAAGTGGCATTGATAGTCCATGGAAAATCTCTTCAAGTTGTTGGAAAGCCTTATTCAAAGTTGTTAAAATCCTAGTTGACTTGCTCAGTTCTTTTAAGTGATGTCCGCAACTGTGGCCAGCGTCTATATCGTCGAAGATGGCTATACATTGATTTATGTGTATCTTACTTTGCACGATGTCGGTGCACAATTAGATGGCATTGCAAGTGACTGCTGGTCCCAGTCAGTCATTTCAGTGGGCTTTAAAATAGGTTCCAAAGGAGGAGCCGCCACTTTAAGCCGACGCCAGTTGAGTCTTATGTTGCCTTCTATACACACATTCGACATCTGCCTATGACGATCAAAAGGCTGCTATCGGCATGCCTAATGATGACCCATGAAGTCTGAGGATGTTTTTGATGTACGAAAACTTACTTCAGCCAAAGGGCGGCCTACATATGCAGGAAGTAATCTGCCACTGAGTGCCCCTGAAAAGACTGCCTTTCGTGTTGCTATGCCGGCTTTGAATTGTCAACGCGTACCTCTGGACAGACCGCGATTTGTGCTGACGTCTCCTACCGAAATTAGGTCTGGGAGCTTCTGTTAAGGTCTGTTCTTGCAGGTGTTTGCTTATCGGCCGCGTGTGAAAAGCAGATGACGTCTTGCGAAAAAGAGTGATGTGTATTACATAATCAATGCATTCCAATTTGCATCTAATGTGGTTTGCGCGTCGTACTGTAAGCCGCGCCTAGGGTTCAAATGTCCGTTTAAATCATCTTCATTGTTTGCGCAGACAAGCGAGTTGTTATGGATGAACCACTTCTTCTCGTCTGTAAAATTTATAAAAACAAGCAGCGTGTTAGGCACTCAAATATACAACCGATATTTCTTGAGTTCTCCTATAAGAGAACGCCCAACGCGACCAAGCGAGAAATGTAAAACAAAGTGTCCAGCAGCAATAGCTGCCGAAAACTATGACGGTTTCAGGGAAATTATGACGTAGGTAGATAGATAGATACATAAATAGATAGATAGATTCATAGCTTGGGACTATGCACGCATGTCCGACGCGCATAAAAGAACTCCTATGAGAACAAACCATTAAGCCATATTGGGTAGCGGCACGTGATCTGAATATGTCAAGCGTCAGGAAACGCCACAAATTTCCGAGCCCTATTTTGAATGTTTTGACAATGAAATGGGAAAATCTCTGAGGTACTGAGGCACACAACCAGAAGAAAGCTGGGCTGAGGTATTAAATTAGCAAAAAACAAACAAAAAAAAACAAAACAACAATAAACAAAGAAAAGCTGTAAGATGAATGGTAATCATGTTTGTCGGGTATTTGTTCGTTTGGTAGGGCTAAAAATACTGATGTCTTGCAGGCTACCATTTTCTGCGGCTGCCCCTCGCTCGAATTCGTTTAAATGCCCGTGCCACTGAATGAATGCCAACCAGTAACACAGCTGGTGCGGCGTGGGACGAAGGAGGGAGCGACAGGCATTAAGACTATCAGATTGGGTAACTTGATGTAGGAAAGAAAGACTGTCATCTCTTGGCATTTTTGGCATTATGATGTAAAATGTCTTGTGTTTTACTCTTAAGGATGACCACAGCTCGAAAGGGCACCGATAGTGCAGTGGCTAACGCGTCTGCGTTGACCACTACGCGTCTGGGAAACTAGAGATGCGTGCTTCGATTGCCCGCGGTGCCTGCTCTTCCTGCCAGGGTGAGAGGCAGACAACGCGAAACAGCGTCAGCAGCTGAGTACGTCGTAAAGCCCCGATGACGACGACGAGCACAACTCGAAATATTGGGTACCGTCAATAGTATCGTTATTTATCGCACCAACATCGTTTAACCAGTACCTCCTGGCATACTGAAGGTGTTTAACACAATACAAGAATGTTCAACTCATAATAATATAGCCTATGCTGGATAATGCCAAATTTTAAGCTAATGAAGCCTGACGCATTTCGAAATCCACGCGGATGGGTCTGGTCAATTAAGTTGGAAGCTCATCTTTCGTGGATGTTTAACAGATAGATATCCACTGATAGAGAGCTCTTGCGCTAATTCATAAGTCTGATTTTGAAAAGCGTGCCAAGCTCGAACTGTCCACCTGATAAAAAGAGATTGGTGCCCGTCATCTGGTCTATGATCCTGTGTAGTTGGTGATGGTCCAGTCTCTCTCAGTCTAGCCCTCAGTGTGTTGCATTTGAAAGCAGCAAAAACAAAACAAGACGGCATAGGCGGCTTCCCGAACGATTACTGGCATACCTCCGTGTTGCACAGTGTCGGCCTGGCGCTGTGATTTGAGGACGGTGCAACCCTCTACGACATGCACTTCAGTGCCTTTAAGGTTGCTTGCTTACACTTGGTCTTGGTCTGGGTCCGATTTCAATTACATTTTGGCATCGTTCTCGCAATCAGCTGATGTTACGTTTCCCATGTTCATTGAATGACTAAAGTTGCACTATATCTATGTTTCAATGTCGTGAGAAATTTCATGGTTGCTTACTCAGACTTTGTCAAGGTCTGGGCCCAGTTTCGACCCATGTTTGACACCCGTCTTGTAATCACCGGTTGTTACGCTGCCTACTTTCAACGAATGGATGAAATTACGGTACATTTATGTTTCAATCTTGCAGAAAACTCAACGCTGACAAATGATCAAATGCATTTGATCAGTAACTTAAGATAATTTCATACAACATGGCTTTAAGGAATTGTGCTTCTTGTCATTGACACATGCATCCAGACGCGATGCATGGCTGCTAAGGTATTATCTCTTAAAAACTCGTGACGACTGGGTGTCTTAACTTGATCTTGTTCAGCCTGCTCAGATTCACCTCCCTCGGGTTGCAGTCTCGCTAGCAATGAGTGCCCTACCTAGTTGATCTTACTCGGCCTGTTCAGATTCACCTCCCTCGAGCTGCAGTCTCGCTAGCAATGAATGCCCTACCTTAAGTTGATCTTGCTCGGCCTGTTCAGATTTACCTCCCCCGAGCTGCAGTCTCACTAGCAATGAATGCCCTGCCTTTTTAAGTTAACCCCCTCGGGCTGCAGTCTCGCTAGCAATGAATGTCCTACTTTTTTAAGTTAAAGATCATATGCTGTTCTACACGTATACTATCCAATACTTTAGGCTGCTTGTGGCATGTTTTGTTCATGCATCCGCAGATAAACACCGCAATGCATTCGTATTTACGTCAAAGAACATTGTGCTTAAATCAAGGGACCTCTTCTTTCACACCGTCCTTCACTCCTAGCTTTTTGAATATGCGATGATTTTATGCACATTATGAACTTAGTACGTATATCCATTGTGATTATCGTGAAAACGAAATGAAGGTCCAGTGGCGCAGAACTGTGCCATTCACCCCGTCTCGAATCATCAGACCCGTCAGCACCCCACCCAGCGTGGCCAGTGACGGGAGCACTCGGCCGGCCCCGCCCGCGCTGAGCCGGCGTCCGCAGCCAGACGGGCGTCCAGCTGACGGGGGGGGGGGGGCTCCCCTTGTCCCCTTGAACACATACAGGGACATACGGGAGCGATGTTGAAGTTGGGGGCGAACACCAAAATGCCGAACTGGGCTCCCTAAGATTGGACAGGACCTTTGGTCCGATGGACTGGACCTTTATAAGTCTGAATGGGTCCTTAACAGCCAGTAATGCACCCTCTGCAGCTCATAACGGGCCCCTCTAGAAGTCCTAATGGGTCCTCCTCAGACCAGAATGGGCTCTCTAAAGGCTAGAATGGGTTATCTAAAGGCCTGAATGGCCTCTCAGTCAATAATGGTGTATATGGATCAAAATGGACTTCCACAGACTGAAACGGGCCCTCTACAGTCAATGGGCCTTCTACTGGTAAGAACGAATCCTCTGCAGGCTAAGAGCTGCCCTTGGAATGAATGGTCAGAATGGATCCTAATTTAACAAGAATGAGCCCTCGACAGGTCAGATTGGGCTTATACAGGCTCACATAATCTCTATACAGCTTAGAATCGGCCCTTAACATACCAGAATGTGTCCCCCACAGGTCCTCCAAGTTGGTGACACCGCCCTCCTCAAGCTTCCAAGGTGGTGTGTGGGGGGGGGGGGGGGGGCGAGCTACCTTCATTGCGCCTCCGCCACGTTCCCGTGTCCTTGTAACGTGTTGCCATCTTTTCGCAGGTTTTTATTACAATGTCTTCGATCATTTGTGCCCAGCTTTGTTCAATACCAAATCAGAGATGTCTTCACCCTCCAGCAGTCCTAATGTCTCTTTTGAAGTTGCCAGTGCCCTGCGGAGATGACGTCGGTATGATGGCGCGAGGTGACAAAACCTTCTACGAGGGTAGCAGGCCGCGCCGGGAGGCTGGCGGCTCTCCTCTGGGGCCAGCGGCAGAGTAGCGCTGCTGGCGAGGGGAACAACAGCCAGATCTAATTGTCCAAATGAGTGCCGCGACGGTCCTTAGGGAGCGGCAGTGGAGGCAGTGGAGGCAGTCCTAAGAGCCTTCCGAAGCAGCTCCGAAAATGACGCGCTGGAGATCAAAGCTGACGTCTTGCTTGCTGTTTTTCGTTTTTCTGTCATGTACCTCTTAACGTTTATTCATATCTCATGCTATCATTTGTCCCAAGTGGTTAGATTTTCAACAGCGTGTAACTTGTCCTTTCCCCATTCGCTTGTTCGAAAATAACTGAATTTATTATGAATCTGCACAACTATGCATACAAAGCAAATGTAGATTTAGTTTTGCCCTGAAAAGAACGCTCGAGCTCGTCTTTTAAGTGCAGTGTTCCACTAGTCATAATTAAGGTATGATTTCTTGGCTTTCACCTATTGTAAATAATTCTCTGTGCGGTCCAGCGTGTCAAGACGGGGTCACAGTCCATACTGACAGAGAGAGGGAGAGAGAGAGAGAGAGAGAGAGAGAGAGAGAGAGAGAGAGAGAGAGAGAGAGAGGGTGAGAGGGATATATATATATATATATATGTGTGTGTGTATATATGCATATATATATATATATATATATATATATATATATATGAGACCTGCAGGCATATCTTGTGATCCAAATGTATGATATGTATTATGTATATCAACACATTATAAATATCAATAAATGATAAACTAAAACAACATTAAGCGAATACAAACAGGAACAAGCATTTATGAAAACCCCTAGATGGCATGATGGGAACAACAGAACTGGCGTTATGATAACAAAGGTCTCGTCTGTACGGGTTGCAGGGCCCATTCACATGGGCATATTTGGGTAAATCAAAGAAAACCATTTTTAGTCCAGTAATCAAAACGAACCCAGTTAAGATCATATGAGCACGTATGAAGAATGCATGTCAAGAGCTGGTATCTTTATTCAGCTCAATAAATCCGCTGCTATCCTACGGATGGTCAGCAATAAAAATGCCTGTCGGGTTTGACAGTTTCACGCGGATCACAAAAATAACTACAGATAATGAAACACGCAATCACAATAACAGCATTACAACACGTAAAACCTTCAGGTACCATTCTTAACAGCAGTATGTAACGAGTCCAATGACCAAAAACAAAAACTTCATCAGAGCTAGCTTGAATTTCAGATAATATACCGGCGCACACCGCACGGCTCCTTTACACAAAGCGAAATCGAACACGATGGCTATTGCATTGCAAGCGATATGACCCTGAGCGCGATGGTGAGATTCAATATTCCAGAGTTAATGACGGCAGCTGGCGCGGCAGTCCACTCAGTTCAACACAACTCATCGCTCGCCGGCTTTGTGCTGCAGCAGCTGAGCGGTTTGATTTGATTGGTGCAGAAAATGACACATTTTTGGCTTTGTAGTTAAAAAAACTTCGATGTTGATATTGGCAATGGTTGTAAATGGCGGTTCCTTCCTATCGTTAGAGTAAAAAAATGATTTTCCCTGCGGCCTTATCCTCCTATGTGCTAACCCAACTATGGTAAGAAGAATGGCTTCAAGATTGTTCTTCATGTTGCGTGACCTAACAGCATTCGACAAAAAACAGTCACACCTGGGCCGGAATAATTTTCCAAGACGTTCGTCTCTGTGTAATGTCTGCCCTCGAGATTCGGTTAGGGGCAGAAATTGTAACAGTTGCCTCGGTTCTGGAGTATCATTTTTACTGACCCTGTGTGACACACAATACCGTCAACATGTAACCGGGCAATGCACGCAATTTTTGAAATATTGCTCCCTTGTTAAAAAAAATGTGTTTGCAATCGGAGGTTCGTTTGCACCCCTGCATTTGTCGTGTCCTGCCTCTTGAGAAGGAAACTCGCTGCCAACCGAATCACGCCCATTTGTTGCAATCACTAGGCGTTGCATGAACTCATGTCGACGTACACGTAGCTCAATGACCAGAACAAACATTCTACGTACGGGGGTCTAAGATGTACGCACTAATAAATGAGAGTAATTCGACACTCAAGGATGAAAATGACTTGTATCCTTAACGTACATACGCAGCATGCATCGGTGTTTCACGATCCCACCAGTCCAGATTACCCACACACTCTGAACTTCAAGCGCCCACTGTTTACATAGCGTCGCATACTCGGCATCGTCGAGTATTTCGCCACGGCGTCTGCGCCGCACCAGGAGCCGCGGCGGCCCGTCCTCGCGGCCATCCTTATGATGTGCGCTGCCATCGGTCCGATGAGAGCCGCCTCGCCAGACGTGACAGTGACAGCAACCCTCGCAGCCGTCCTGGGGGAGCGCCGATTCCCCAATGCCAGCTCCGGACCCGAGCGAACGCCTGCGGGCGTCCTGTAGCAGCCCCAGACCAGCCGCGGGCCCGGGTGAGCGCCTGCGGCAGCACCGGGCGTCCTACAGCAGTCCCAGACCAGCCGCGGGCACGGGTGAGCGCCTGCGGCAGCACCGGGCGTCCTATAACAGGCCCAGACCAGCCGCCGACCCACCACCCAGGACGCCGACCACCGCCTGCTAGATATGTCTAGTTACACCCGTTGGCGCGAACATTAGTCGAAAGTTGGTGCGTCTGACGCGGATGAGCCGCCCGACATCGGTCGCTCACACGCTCTGCCGGCCTCCGCCTCTCTTTCCGCGCCCTCGTTCCGCATGTGGAGTTAGGCAGCTCTGAAACGTAAATGGCCGGTCAAAGCGCCACTTGGACGGCACCAATTTCGCCGAAAGTTTGGCGCCGTTCTAGCAGTGAGCAAGACGTGCCAGATTAAGCGGTGTAGTGCGCTGAAGGTTTGTTGCATGCCTACCATCACCATTCAGACCGCTACTGGACGCAGTCAAAATTTGGTTTGCAGCGTGACGCACGACCCATCTGTTTCGGGAACATCGCTGTGGTCCTATTCACCTATGCTTACCTATGCACTGAGGTGACGTAGAGCTAAAAGTGCGGGAAGAACTGCCAGGTTGACAAACCGGAACGCTCCTGCAACAAAGAAATAAAACATAGGCTAACGAATGCAATTTTGTGCATATCGTACTTAATTCGGTAATCTTCCTGATGGGAAACTGGCCTCACCACACTTTGTTACCATGGGCAATCACGTAAGATCTATTACCTGTGCTTGTTTTGCATCAGTCAGTTGAGGCACCATGCACGTCAGCTACCCGCGGAACCTCCACGTCACTCGTTTGACACGCCAGACAACTGATGTGACCTCACGCCAGACATCTGAGGTGAACCCACGTCAGACAACTGAGGTGGCTCCACGCCAGACATCTAAAGTTGTCCCTACGCCAGACAACTGAGGTGGCCCCACGTCAGACATCCGAGATGCACCCCTGAGGCGGTCACACGTCGGCCACCTGAGGCAGTCATGGTCACCTGAGGCGGTCACACGTCGGCCACCTGAGGCAGTCATGGTCACCTGAGGCGGTCACACGTCGGCCACCCGAGACAGTCATGGTCACCTGAGGCGGTCACACGTCGGCCACCTGAGGCAGTCATGGTCACCTGAGGCGGTCACACGTCGGCCACCTGAGGCAGTCATGGTCACCTGAGGCGGTCACACGTCGGCCACCCGAGACAGTCATGGTCACCTGAGGCGGTCACACGTCGGCCACCCGAGACAGTCATGGTCACCTGAGGCGGTCACACGTCGGCCACCTGAAGCAGTCATGGTAACCTGAGGCGGTCACACGTCAGTCACCTAAGGCAGCCACACGTCGGTCACCTGAGGCCGATGTGGCGGCCGCCTCGGTGACCGGCACGCTTTCAGTGGAGAGCACCGGGCCCTCCAGCGAGTACCGGTGGCCAGCCGCAGCGGCCCGTCCAGATACTGTGGTGACGTCAGCGTCCGGACGGCGACGGTACTGCTTCGGCCTCCGACCGCCGGCCTCTGTCGGAAGAGCACGGCTGCTGTCTCAGTCCTGGTATCAGTGCTAGGGATCCGAGTTCATCATCAACGGCTATTTTGATTATGGTTTGTTCATGGGGCTTTGGTGCGAAACCAGGTCATATACACAGAAAACACAACGTTTCTTCAAGTATTTGCTTTGTGGGAAGATTATATAAAAATGGGCAGAACAAAGGCGATGGACCTACGATGGAACATCATCGAATGTAAATGCCAAACATTGTAATCCTCGGTGTTAAAACCAAGCTCATGGAAATTTAATGACGTGAAATAATGCATCGTTTCGTGCTGCGTCAACCCAGTCAACAGTAAACCCGGCCTGGGCCCTCGCTATATTTCCCACCTGGTGCGAGCCCACGGCATGCTCCTCACCCTTGAGCCTGATGTCTTGATATCCGCTGCCCATGCTGTTCTCGTTAAGGCAGCGATACAGGCCGAAGTCTTCGGGCCGGACTAGCGCCAGGTGGAGCGTCATGCGGTGCTGGAAGGGCTGGCGGCCGGGCAGCAGGCCGATCCTGGCCCGCCCGCCCTCGGTCAGCACCTCTGGCTCGGCGGCGCGGCCGCTCCATGGCGACCAGTGCTGCCGCCTGGCGGGCGGCGCCCCCGCCGACGGCCGCGTCCAGTAGTGCATCCCGGCCGGATACGACTCGGTCTGACACTCGAGCGTCACGTTGGCGCCGGCGGCGGCGGTCACTGAGCCGCGCGCAGCCTCCACCTCCGGCTTGACTGCGGGCACAGCCGGCAGAGCGGCACTGTACAACGGGCCGGTGACTATCATCGCCAGCTCGTCACCGGTGACTATTCTCGCCAGCTCGTCACCGGTGACTATCATCGCCAGCTCGCCACCGGTGACTATTCTCGCCAGCTCGTCACCGGTGACTATCATCGCCAGCTCGTCACCGGTGACTATCATCGCCAGCTCGTCACCGGCGTCTATCATCGCCAGTTCGTCACCGGTGAATACCATCGCTAGCTCATCAGACGCCGACAGTAAAACGCATATCTATTGAGAGTATGAAAAAGTTGCATTTTAAATTTGGCTTTGGCACTGCTAAAACAATGCAGTAAGATGTTTTGTCTCTGGTGAAAAGCCCGCGTGTGATCAGGCCTTGACGCGATGCCCTTCTGAGGCGTCACACCGTTAACATTTACCTGCGCCACCTTTGCGTCTTTGTCAGACCCACCACTCGAGCCGTCCTAAGTCGAGCGTTACCCGGCGAAGGGGCTCCGGGCATACTCACAGCTGACTCGCAGCTGCACCCGCTTGCTGACGGCCGGCGGCACCCCGTTGGAGGCGATGCAGAAATAGTCGGAGGAGGAGGCGCGGTCGACGCGGCCCAGCTCCAGTCGAGCGCCGTCCATCGCGAACACTGACCGCACAAGGGTGGTGGGGAGGGGGGGGGGTCATGCCGATCGCCCGGCGCCCCAGCCGTTCGCGCAGGGGCTGGGCCCACGCCGGTCGCTCGGTACCCCAGCTGTCCGCGCAGGGGCTGGGCCCACGCCGGTCGCTCGGTACCCCAGCCGTCCGGGTAGGGGCCGGCTGGTCGCCGCTCAAGACGACGGCATCGGCTCACGTGTGTGGCGTGAGCTCACGCGCCACGCGCCACACCGACGAGCGTCGGCGCACGCATGCTTCGCATTTGCCAGACCACACGTGGCTTCTCGGTTGCGGATACTTTGCCGTTCTCGTAGACAAACGGAGGGAAGTGCAGATCCACAGTGGTTTCGCGGACGGTTGACGAGGACGCCGACCGTGTCTATCAATAGCCTGCAGCCTCTGCATAAATGGAGGGTGCCCAGAGCCGGCTGCCGGTGCACGGCGGTGGCCTCATCGGCGTGTGTTATATAACGTAGCCTTTTCACGTGCTGACCAGATGTTTTTGGCTTTGAGGATTTGGTAATATGTAACGTATGGCTTTCCAAGATACTACTGGTGCATTGAAGATGGCGTCGGCGAATGTATCAGTAACGTTTCAGATGACTTAGCTCAGGAAGGCGTCTTGATCTGTCGGGACGGCCGGCGCGTTTCAGCTAAGGTACTCGTAGGCAGATAAAGCACGTCCACTGGTATAGCAAAACATCTGATCATTCAAGTAGATCCCTTTAAAACGAGTACCCCACTTTTGGGGCACGTTTCAAAAGCCGTGCCAATTCAGTACAATCGAGATAAAATGAAGAGATAGAGTTTAATCATGTTCGAGTCTAAAATACGCCGTCAATGTTGTTTTTTTCAAGCTCTGCACGTCCTTTCTTGGCAGCCCAAGAGTGGAGTCCCAGGGCGCGATTCGCAGAGTCCTAGAGTGGAGTCCGAGGGCGTGAGTCCCAGAGTCCCAGAGTGGAGTCCGAGGGCGCGACAACTGCCGTTGTCGGGGCTGCCATTGTCATGGCGGCAGCAGAAGCCGCTGAGGCCATGGTCAGCTGTTACGGATCAGAGATACCGCTTTTGAGCTATTTTAACCCGCACTTTGAGGGCCTGTCGGCTTACAAAAGACAGCTCTACTGGTATCAGTACAAATACAAAAACAGTCAGTACAAATGAACGTTTGTGATTGGTTCAAGGGACGGCAAAGGTCAGTTTCCGAGAAGCACATTGTTTGAAGTTTGAGCCATTAGGTCACTTTGGACCATGTCATACTCAGTTTCCCAAAGCCTACGTGGATTTTGAAAAGAGTCACTGTGCTAAACACCATAAACGGAAACCAAAGCCAAAGCGCAATGTTTTGTTGAATTGGCGGAATAATAGAGTCATGCTTGCATGTTTTTTCTTCAGAATTTTTTAAAACTCTCGTAGCATTCGTTGCACAAGCATTCTGACAGTTAGTCAACAGACATTTAAGTTAGTTAGTGAGTTAGTTCGTTCGTTTGACAAATTAATCACAAAATTATAGAACACACATTTTGAAAAAGGGAAGCAATTGGAATCTATTGCTTTCATAATGGTGAGTAGGGAGTTCAATCAAGTTTCTCCCCCAGGAGTGGCTTCTTCAAAGACAAATGCTGAGCTACTTGGGGGGCCGCAGAGAAAACTGGCATTACCAATCAAATCGGATGCGTCTGACGTCTCTAGCAATAGATGAACCGTATTAAAAGGTGGCATGCTCCCTATGACGTCGTCACTGTGCTGTGATGGCACCAAACTAGAATGTTTTCTTCATTATTCTGGTACACCTGATACTGCAGCAGTCTGCTGACAGTGTTTTGCCGTTCACATTCGGCAGTTCAATGCTAATGTTTTTGATTTCAGGCCGGCAGTAAGGTAGATTGCATTGAAATGCACCATATTTGTTGAGCTAGCACCGTTAATAAATGACCTGACGCATTGAGGTATTCTATGAATTTATGGATTAAAGCCATGGTAATAAGGTGCTTTCCATCCATCTCGCTCCGTTCAAGTCACAATCAGGACTGTATCCCCAAACGTATGCGTCAAGATTGGACCAACGCTTTTCAATTGTCACAGAATTAAGAGGTTGCCATAAATGGATTGGCTAACGAATGGAACGCCAGCCGAAAGGACCTTTCACCTTTCAGTAGGAAAGGATGGCTTTCCTCTCTGGAAAATTGTGAACATTAACAGCATCGTATAATCCCCTTTGAACATGTATTTAATATTTGTGGACGAAATAACAATATACCATGAACCTTTCAGGACTATAAGCAGACATATGTGCACATATGCAAAGTACACACACACACACACACACACACACACACACCCACACACACACACACACACACACACACACACACACACACACACACACACACACACACACACACACACACACACACACACACACACACACACACACACACACACACCACACACACACACACCCACACACACACACACACACACACACACACACACACACACACACACACACACACACACACACACACACACACACACACACACACACACACACACTGTATATATATATATATATATATATATATATATATATATATATATATATATATATACATATCTACATATCTGCATATCTCTCTCTGTGTATGTTAACATAATATAAGCATATATGTATATATTATATATATATATATATTTATATTATATATATATATATATATATATATATATATATATATATATATATATATATATATATTATATATATATACATATCTACATATCTCTCTCTGTGTATGTTAACATAATATAAGCATATATGTATATATATATATATATATATATATATATATATATATAGATATAATATATATATATCTATATATATATATATACATCTCTCTCT